TTAATAGTAGAGGCCTGGAAGTTAAACGGGTGTCATGATTGAAGGGCACTTGTTTGTTGGTCTATATGTATTGGAAGGGCTTCGGTTTTGTCCATGTTGAGTTTGTAGCTGGAGACTGTGACGTAGGCTTGTGGGAACCCGAATTTCTGGAGGGTCACGAAAAGAAAGGGCCATAGCAGTCTATCGAAGGCTTTTTTGGCATCGAGGGAAAGAATCAGGGTGGGGATCTGTCGGCGTACCAGATTAAGTAGAATGCACATTTCGTTTTTCGCTAGCTTGTCTGTTTCGATGAACCCTACTTGGTCCGGGTGGATAAGATTTTATAGAAGGGGGTTAAGTCTCTCTGCCATGACGTTTGTGAACAGCTTGACGTCTACATTGAGTAGTAAGATAGGCCTATAGTGACCGGGTTCAAGTGAGATTTGCCGGGTTTTGGGAGGAGGCAGATGTTCGCCTGGAGCATGTCTGGGGGTAGGTGGTGCCCTGCCAGTACTGAGTTGAAAAGGTCGCATAAGTGTGGGAGTAGTGATGGAGCAAAAGTTTTTTAATATAGGCCTGAGAAGCCATCCGGGCCTGGGCATTTGTTTGGTTTTAGTGTTTTAAGAGTGTTGGCTACTTCTTCTAGGGTGATTGTCACACTTAATCTCCCAGCCCATTCGGGAGTTAGTGATGGTAGAGTAATGGATTTGAGGTAGTTGTCTATTTTGGCAGTGATCAGGTTAGGGTCATGTCAGGCTTGGGGGCTGTGATCAAAGAGTGCAGAGAAGTATTCTTGGAATATCACTGCTATTTGTTACGGTGTTTCACATGTGTTTCGGTCCTTGGAGTGGATCTTAGTGATCTGTTTGTGGGTTGACCTACGGTTTAGTTTACATGCGAGTAGGGTGTCTGCTTTATTGTTTCTTATGTTTTAATGAAAACTAGAGAAGAGGAAGAAATGAAGAACAGATCCTGAGAGAGGGAGAGAAGAGGAAGCAATTGGGAAAAGGTAAACTGGGCATGACAGTACCACTTTAAATCTTTAACTCTTCACCAAAGCAACCTGTAATTTTTGTAATTAAATTATTCAGCTGTATCATTTTTTAAAAGATTTTTATCAACAACCCAACCTTAAATTGTAGCCATTGTATTTGGTTTTGCAGCTGTTAAATGAAGTAGCAAAAACTATTTGCTTGCTATAGAAACACCGATATTCTAGATGAGGATGTACATTGCTTCCCTAGACTCAACTAAAGCTCTGACATTTGGGATTATATACTCAATTTTAAATGTATCAAGTAAAGCCAACAAAAAATAATATTCGTTCACTTTACATATTATGTGCCCTGAACAAAATATAATTTAGTATTTTAAAACATTTACAAATATAAGAATTTAAATCACCCTATTATTATTTTTTTTGTAATAAATAACACAAGGATCATAAATGTTAGTTAAAACATGTTAAAATAAAAACATCGACGTATACAGAGAGTTGTGGCAGATGGGAACCTTTAAATTGGAGCCAAAAAAATCCAAATTGCAATGTCAGATGGGGTGCTCTTTGGACAGAATGAAAATATATTTTACATAAATATTTCAGATGGCGTATGAAAGAGAGGGGAGAGTTGAAGTGTTTGGCTTATGAGAGAAGTGACAGCCAGCATGGATTTTCTATGTCTACCATTTTGTCTATTTTCAGCCATTATAGCTGTAGGAAGAAGTAAAAAACAGCCAGATTCTAATTCAGCTTCCTTATCTTTAATTCAAACGTCCAGCTCAATGATATAGTGTCTATGACATACTTCTACCAATACAGTTTTCAGTAAATATTTCAATACTTCTTGGTTTTATTATAATGATTTAATTTCAAGAGAGACTATTTTCACTTATTTTTTTGTTTCCCAAAATAAATCATCTTTGACATACTTGTTAATATGTTAATATGTATTACTTTCCTTATGGTCATTCCAGGGCACCAGGGTTAATTATGTGATGGCTGTCTGGTGATTGCTGGCCAGCCATCACATTAAAAAAGGAAATAAAAATTAAATATATAAATAAAAATTCGGTGGGGATCAATAAGACCCCATATTACTAAAATGAAGGTAATTCACTTTCATATGCCATGGCAGGTGACATTTAAAACTAGTGACTGGCAGCCACTATAAAAGTCCCAAGCCCACAGAGATGGAACCTGTGAAATAACAGAAGGGGGGGGGGGGAATAGTCCTACCGTTCTCCCACAGCTGTGATCATCACTAGAGGAGGCACCTTGAGGGCCATCAAATGTCTTAAATTCTGTGAGTGCTACTGATAAAAATATAATCAATGTATTTAATAACTGTATTATACTATACATTGCTAATATCCTTTTAACACCTGCATCCCGTATTTTGAATATATTTCTATTTCTATATTTCTCTCTACTGGAAAAATGAAACCTTATATCCAAGATTCTCTAATTTAAGCCATGACCACAAAACATATTACTTTTTCCATTCAGCATACAACTGGAAAAAGAGTGCATTTCACTGGTAAATTGGTCAACAGATAAAATAACAGAATCTACAGCTCTCTGGACATATTTGTCCCTCCAGGAGGCATAACCACATAGCAAAGCTAGTGGGTAAGTGGCAGCCTCCCGGAGAAATATTTTGACACGCTAAAAACGCTTGTGCTGTGCTCCTGCACAGCAACAGCGTTTTAGCCAATCAGGTGATCAGGACAGCCATGTAGCTCGTGGCAGCCCTGATCACCTCAGATTTTAAAATGGCAACATTGATGGAGGACTCCATTTCTGTGTCTGCCACAGATATGGTGGATGTCTCTCCTAGAGACAGCCCCATCATCTTCTGAGGAGGATATAGTCCCAGTTAGTAAAAGAAAAAAGAAGGCTTGCTTTTCCTCTTCAGGTTCTGAGGATGAACTTGATTTTGGTCGCTCTTCCCCTCATTCTCGTTTGAGTAGTTGACTTTTAAAGGGACAGTACCTCCAAAAGCGAAATGTGCTTTTCCCTCGTTTGAGGTTTCAAAGCAGTTTTCTCACAAAAGGGACAAGACTCGTTTGAGTGCTGTCAGTCCCTCACTGTCCACCTCAAGAGCATTTGATCATTCATCCTCCCTAAGCCAGTCATGCTCCAGTCAGGGATCACCGGAGATTGATTGAGAGTGCAAGGAGGTGGTTCGCTCTGCAGCTTCCACTGAACGAGGGAAGTTGAGCAACATTCAGATGGACAGAGTGAGCCTTTTAGGTAAAGTGCTCCCTTCAAAATTATTCCATTCAAGATGGGCCATCAAACAAGAATCAGAATTCAGGAATTTTGCCAAACTAGCTTTCAGATCACCGCTATTTAAAGAGGATGATCTCCTCCTTAGAAATCATATTGGTATCCCTGACATTCAGGCGCTAATAGCCCCTGAAATTGATCCAGCACTGTTATCCATTACAGGAAGCAATGTTTCTGCGGATCCCACGGATCAGACATTGCGCAATGTACAATTTAAAATTGCGGATGCTGTTGGTCCCCTGCTACTTATGTTGGATAAGGCAGAGAAGGAGGGATCCTCTCATAACCCTTCCCTACCAGCTTTACGTGCTTCTAAGATAGCACTTCTAAATGCTTCCAGCAGAGTGGTGCTTATTATCGGTCAATCATTCAACTATATTTCTAACATTCGCAGAACCCGCTGGCTGGATGCAGCAGGGATGTCTGATTTAGCACCAAAATCACATGTATTCCATAATTTTGAAAACTCCTTTCTATTTGGCCCCTCTTTTATACAAGAAGTGAAAGGACGATATAAAGCTAGGAGATCTTTCTCTGATTTACAGAAGAACTTTCCAAGCTTCAAGAAGCCCTTTCAGACCGAGGGTCATTCCTACAGGGCTACAGGCTCAGCCCGGGAAGTAATTCAGCAAGCCCACTTTTGACACCATGGGGGGAAGTCAAGACCCCCAGGCAGTAGCAGGGGAGCCCATGCCAGACGTGGCTCATCAGGAAACCGAAGACCCATTCAGTCAAGTAAGTGGTTTACCTCACATCCCTCAAAATTGGTCAGATATAACCTCAGACAAATGGGTGCGTCAGATTTTCAAAAGGGGTTTACAACTCTCTCTCATTCAGACTCCTTTCCAGAGTCAAGCTCTGGGCAGAGAGGTAAATCCAGTTCTAGTTTCCTCTCTTTCCCAGGTATTAGCTTAGGGAAAAATGGAATTGGCAGATTTGTCAATTTCAGGTTGGATCAGTCCCTTGTTCCCTATTCCAAAATCAGACGGCATATGGAGACCAGTACTAAACGTCAAGGCTTTGAATGCTTTCCCAAAGAGGAAAAGGTTCAGGATGGAAGGTTTAACGGACCTCCCAGGCCTAGTGCAGAAAAAAGTCTTCTGCATAAAATTAGACTTCAAAGATGCTTTCCATTCAGTTCCTATTGCTATGAAACACAGGCGCTTTCTCAGATTCCTCTGGAAAGAACAAATATATCACTGGACTGCAATGGTGTTTGGCCTATCCAACGCACCTTACACATATTCCAGGATAATTAAAACTATTATATCCCACGTTAGACAAAGAGGATTTCTATGCCTTTATTACTTAGACGACATCATGTTGTTGAATCCAGAGGTAGATACTCTCATTCAGCAGAGAGATTACCTAATTTCCTTATTATAGGACTGGAGGTTTATTGTAAATCTGCAAAAATCCATACTAGTCCCTACTCAGAATATCCTATTTCTGGGTTTCATGCTGAACACTATGGATATGACCTTGGGTGTTCCCCGAGACAAATGAGAAAAAAATCCTAGCTCAGATAACTTCAGCTCTTTTAAAACACAGATGGTCCCTAAGAGATATAGCAAAAACTATTGGGAGGCTGATAGCATTAACACTGGGTTACGATGCTTCCCCCTTGCTATGAAGACAAAGTTAGCTGTTTCTAGGAAACCAACTGAGACGGTGAGGCCAGTGGGGGTCAAGGGTGGTCCTTCCCACTAGTGTCAGAAAAGAGCTGAACAAGATGTTGGAAGGGGCAAGGCCACTTCCTCGCCCCCTTCTGGAAGGGCCTTTCGAGTTAACCTTGACCACAGAGGCTTCTACCAAGGGATGGGGTGCTTTCTCTGCCCAAGGCGCAATAAGAGGAGTTTGGTCACTTCAAGAAAGACTTCTCCACATAAACTTACTAGAGTTAAGAGCAATCAAATTAGCCCTCCAAGGCCTCGTTCCATTGAACCCCCTAGGTGTGTCGATAATGGTTCAATCAGACAACAGGAAAGCAGTAGCTTATGTCAACCACAGAGGGGGCACAGGGTCAAAAGGTCTTTGCCTAGAGGCCTTGGACCTGTGGTCATGTGCTCTGGTTCACAAAGTTCGAATTTTGGCAGTTCACGTACCAGAAGAGGCAAACGAACTGGCGGATTCCCTGTCCCGCCAGCGTTTGTCCCTTGCTACAGTCCAGTTAAAGAGTGCCTTATTTCAGCTGATAGAGAGCAGACTGGGTAAGAGACAGATAGATCTTTTTGGATCGCAGACCTCGGCTCAGACTCTCAAATTTGTAACCAGGACTTGGGCAAAAGGAGCTTGGAAGTTGGATGCGATGTCTTTCCAATGGACAGACATTCCGGGCCTTCACGCTTTTCCCCCTCCATCTATTCTGATGATGGTGTTAGAGAAACTTTGCAGGGACAGGGTGACCAATCTGGTTTTGGTGTACCCCATTTGGACCTCCAGACCATGGTACCCCCTGATCCAACCTCTAATCAGGGGACCCAAGGTTCCATTAGGCTGGACAGCAGATAGCTTCCTAGGGACCAGGGATCTCTTAACCAAGCTCCCCCAATTTATGTGGATGGCAGCCCTGGTAGGCTTTTAATGCATCCTCTTCTGTCTGACCAGGTTTTAGACATAGTTAATTCTTCATTACGGCGCAGGACCAGGGTAAGATACAAACAGATGATCGAGGAATTTAAAGCAGGGGAAGTTTCCTTTAATTCCCTTTCCCATGAATCTAACACAATTCCCTTAGCTTTGGAATTCCTCACGCTCAAATATCATTCAGGGTTAGCAGTCAGTACGATAAAGACGTATGGTTCTGCATTAAATTTTCTAATCCGTAATCTGACCCAAGACGCCCTTTACCTCAGGTTACTCAAAGGGCTATCAGTCTGCCGGCCTTTTACTCCGAGATACAATTCCACTTGGGATGTGGACCTTTTATAAACAACCTTAATTCTTTGGACAATGACCAGAATGACCTAAGATGGACGGTGATTAAATTGGCATCCCTTCTAGTTTTAGCTCTGGCAGCTAGAGGATCAGAATAAACCCAGCAAAATATTGTCGAACCATGGTTTTCCCGAACTCCTGGTGGATTTCATGTCATCCTTAAAGGGAGACAGAAAACTTCCTATATTTTCCTGGGTCCCATAGAACTAGGTTTGGTGCCGGATTCTGCTGAGCCGATTTTATGCTTAGTTAATTTGTTAAATTCAGATTTGAATCTTTCTGCCCCAGTCAGACAAGACTTTACGCAATTACTTATCGCCTCCAGAAAACCTTTTCGGCCAGCTAAGGTTAACACAATCAGGGGTTGGATACTGTCCGCTATGTCTGCAGCGGGTATTGATGTCACGGTTTTTAAGGGTCATTCTATCAGAGGGGCCTCAGCTTCAAAAGCAGCAGTGAGAGGCCTTCCTCTTCCTATTATCCTTAAAGCTGCAATATGGCTTTCCAGTAAGACTTTTGTTAAGTTTTACTGGAGGCCAACTGAAGTGGAACGTTTACAGTTCCTTAAGACCACCACCAGGTGTGTGCTATTCAACCCACTAGCTTTGCTTGGTGGTTATGCCTCCCGGGGGACAAACTAGAGTTTGCAGAAAACTTTCTTTGTCCAAGGGATAAGCATAACCACCTAGCAAAGTGCCCATCCCTCCCTCCCCAGGTTTATTTCTATTGCCTGGTTTGGGAATCTTCTAATTAAAGTAATTTTGAGTTTTTGTTTTCTTTTTCACTTATATTTATTTATATTTATTCTGTTTATCTTTACAGATTACAACCGGCTACCCAGACAGGATCACCAAGCCAAGGACCCTCCTAAATCGTTATAGAGGTTAAGAAACTTCTTCCAGAAGCTCTCTGATTATGAGTAATACTATACTAATATTTCTCTCAGAGACTTTTGTTTTTCACCTTCATGATCAAAGATTGTTTTGTTACATTTTCATGTTACTATTAACTGTCAGTGTTTCAGAAATGTTTCTTATTACTATTATTATGATATTTATAGAGCGCCGTCAAATTCCGCAACGCTTGACAATGGGTGGACGAACAGACATGTATTTGTAACCAGTCAAGTTGGACACACAGGAACAGAGGGGTTGAGGGCCCTGCTCAATGAGCTCACATGCTAGAGGGAGTGGGGTAAAATGACACAAAAATTAATTAACTAATTAATGACTTGCTAGTTGCCAATGCATACTATATCTTCTTTCAAAATCTGCAATCCAATATTTATTAACTCAAATACCAACAACTGATCAATTTAGAATAAATATCCCATTGACGATCTCTGCAACCAAAACAGCATTTTATTAAAATATATATCTCTTACACAACTCATGATTTCACTTTCTAGAAATCCACATCTACCCTGTTACATGAGCTATTGGAAACAGGTCTTTACTTTGCTATGAAATCTTTTTTTACCTGTGTCCTCTGAGTCTGTAACACTGTATTACAGATAGATAGATAGATAGATAGATAGATGTGAACAGGCATGGTGGGGAGATCAAAGATTTCATTCACTTGTCCAGTACAGCCTTCTATTACTAGAGGGAGACCCGGTAGACTCTAGTCTCTTCTGGATGCAGACTAAGAGTATTCCATTGTGAGCGCCAGACATTCAGAGTGTCGCCATTGGTTCACACAGAACTGCTCCAATAACACCCAGTACCAAAGATCTAATATATTGAAACAATGAGTTAGCACACAAAACTTGGGGGGAAAAATAATTCTCAAATTGAAAATTAACAGAACTTATTTGAGATGTTAATTTGTAGAAAAAATAAATATATATTCCAGGGATAATATAATATATTCCGTATTAGTCCAGGGATGTAGATGTAAAAAACAGATACAATCTGTATCTTGTAATACCTTTTATATTGGACTAACAGGATTTTTTTTCAAATTATATATATCAGTATTGTCCTGAAGCTTATATACTCGTCTCTTGTTTGTTCAATAGTCTTATAGTTCACACATAAGTACCAAAGCTCGCATGCAGGATGTAGACACACACCACACTACATCCCCTAAACACACACAGTACATCAATTAGCATACTGGGTTCCCTATACACACACAAATTAAAAATGCATTAACAAACACTACATCTCCTATACATACACACTACAGCCCCTATACAAACATGCACACACTACATTACTTATTGCATTAACACACATAAACTACATCCCCTACCCGCCCATGTTACATCCTCTTTACTTGTAAGCTGATGTTTATCATAATTACAGTACTGATTACTATATTTTTTTCTTCTAAATTTATATCAAATATAAAATTGTGCACCTTAAATTCCAAGATATAAATCCTGCTGTAAATTCAAAGTGAATTTCACAATTTAGGCCAAATTAGCTGGTTTAGTATAAAGTTAGATCTGTTTTCAGTTTGGCTATTTTGGTCTTAAGATTCACTTTACCAGCAATTCTCACTTTAATGAATAACCCTAATAGTTCCTAATTCCTCATCATCATCTTTTTCCAGTTTATCATTATATCACCATGACACATACCATATTTCCCGTGGTGCAACCACAGTTTCCACTGCTTGAGATTGGAGGCACAGAGTAGGCACAGAGCATTTCTGTGGAAGCACTGCTTATCCATGCAACAAAATTAGACTTAAAATCTTGATATTATTTTACAACAAGCAGCTGTGCTTTATTGTGATTCTTTACCATAGACTAATCCATCCTGTTTCTGTGAAGTGTTGATGTGTTTTTTATACATTGTCAACACACTGGAATTCAAATCAGTGTCTGTGGAATTAAAAACAGATGCAATAATCAATGAATGAATTTTGATTTAAGCGTCGTTTATCCCTTGGATGTTCACATTATAATACTGAAGCAGCCAAAGCAAACAGACCTCTATACAGTTTATAACAGTGTTACAGCGTCTTTATAAGAAATAGTTGCAAAAAATATTAACACATTTTTCATATCTAGATCTTACAAATGTAATCAGAATGATAAAGTATGTTTTCTTATGGCAAAAAAAATAAAAATGATGAGCTGGAATTAAAAGTTGAATTGGAGAATTTTTCCAGTTTGGCTTTTTTCAATTACAGTTTGCAATTCCCTTTTGAATTCTCCAATATTTTGAATTTAGTGAATATCTACCACAGTTTATTAGTACTGATTTAACATTTTAATTGTAAGGACTAAAAAAATGTAAGACTTTGGTAAAGGTTCACCAGCACAATTGTATAGCAATTGTGCAGTCAAGAGTAGACATCCCATTTCCAGTAAAATAAATTAAACATTGTTGGCGCTCACTGCAGTAAAATGTCTCATAGATTGTCCATTCATTAAGAAGGAATACAGTATGTACAGTATGTAGAGATGATGCTATTGTCACACAGAACACACTTTTATACCTGGTGTCTCAACAGGATGTCCCCAGGGAGAACAAAAGAATTGCAACATTCCCGGCGACTTGGTATCTGTGCCTGAGCATATAATTTAATTATTGACCAGACTCCTTGGCATTGCGTTAATAAAACATATAATAATAATTACAGTTCCCATTCCCACATCCCCACACAACCGGTGTCCACAGGAAGCTTGTTTCAGAGCGCCCATTTTATCCAAAAAGGGATCAGATCACAGGTGGATAGACCGATTTAGGTGAAAGTCAAAATTTCAGCTGGTTGCGGCTAACCTCTGATCTGGCGCTGGGTGGAAAGTCCCTGTCACCCTAAAATAACTCAGCTTTCCACAATTCCTTGCAGCTCACCCAAGTTGGATATTAGATGCCCCATCCTATCCTTTATCTCCACTCCAAAAAGCACCCTGCTAGGGGCTCCTAGGACCGTGAGCACTCTAGGTAAAGTTTTAGTGGACTAAGGCTGATCCATGATTTGAGAAAGAGTTCCAGAGCATTTGGAGGTTGCTTTGTGTCCTGCAGCTCTACAATGCTCCTGAGGGGCGCTAGGTAGGGTAGTGATTAGTAGTAACAAAGTGATTATGATTTTTTGGGGTAAGGTGGAGGACTACAAGCTAAGTACAATTCCTGGGTGATAGGTCACAGTTCTTATTTCTTTAAACTTCAAATTGTACTGAAATAAAATCTGAATTTAAGATCTATAAATATTCTCCTGCTCAGCTATAGTAACAACACAGGCATTAATTTTTATGGTTGAATCAAAATTTAATGAGTTTACTCCACAATCTCACTCACTTCGAAACATCTCTCCT